GTCTGCCCCACTGCTCGCCGCACTCAAATTTGAGCTCGTTAAACTCTCTTGCGGACGACGCGGTACGGATAAGTGTCTCCCGATTGTGACCCCTTTCTACAACTGACCACAAGTGCCCCACTCTCGAACGCAGTCACACGCAAATGTCTGTACCGGGAATTCCGCCAATATATTCATGGTCGCCGATTTGCCCCGAAATTTGACCGAGAGACCTATAGACATGGCTGTACTAGTTACCCACAATATTGATCGAAATACGACTTTTTCGCGGTTATTGAATTTTCGAATTTGGATCTCTCTCGTCTTCTCAAACTGAAAGTTTCTACTGGCAACATTGAAAACGTGATGTGACCGGCGGGAACAGCTTCACTGTTTGGGCAGCAGCACTTGTCCCAGCTGATTATAAGAAGTTTGATGGTGGGAAATGAATGGCGTCGAAGCTCACTCCAGCATTTGCTTAAGGTGTGTCCACACGACGGACCGGGCCGTGGACCGATTGATCACGTGATGCGCGGCCCGCGAGCCGCCCGGCTGCAAGGACCATCCACACGGCGGACCAAAAGAGCAGACGAGAGAGCGAACAGGCCGGTCTAACCCTTGACCTCAAAGCTCCGCCAAACGCATGCAGCGAGCTACTTTGAGACTATTTGTAAGGAGCCAAGATGGAGGTTGAACGAAAGAGACGTTTGGCCGCGGTGGCCCTGGCGTTGACTATTGAGGACGAGGAGGACTTTAGTGAACCGAAAAGGGCATGCATCTATTGTCCCACAGAGCGGGGAATTGCTCCACGAGCGCGATGAAATAAAAAGTTGCATCGTCGCACCATGCCGCCATCGTCGCACAACAAAAGGTCCGTCTTCTTCGTCTTCAACAGTTGGCGCCAAAAGAACACGACTTTGGATTTGGACTCCAATCCAAACAACAAAAGTCAGCTTGTTGCCAGACTCAGCACTTCAATTATACTAAAAACGCCGCTGTCCGCCGCCAAGGTCCGGGCGAGAAAAGTAGCTTGGCATTTCTCAGAAGCGCGGGCCGCGGACCACCGGCGGACCTCGAAAACCGGTCACGTAAGATCACGTGATGCGCGGCCCGCGGACCAAAACAGCAATTTGGTCCGTCGTGTGGATACACTTTTACAAGCATCAACAAAATTCGCAACATACTCTGTCTTTTGACTGCGTGAGTGACTTGCCCGTCTTCCACCCAGTGACATCACGCTAGTGAAATGAGTGGGAACATTTTAATGTTGATCTTTGGCATAATCTTTAATTGTCAATTTCTCAAAGGCTATCCCGAAGTTCAAGCTACCCAATAGTAGCTCGGGTAGAGTAAAGCTAGGGCACTTAGAGAACGCAGTTTGTTTTTGTAGCCCAAAAAACGACAGAGTTCCCCTTCAAGCATCTTTATTTTATCGGGAAAAACAAAGCACGTAAAGCTTTATTATGTTGTGGACACCTCAACCGGGTATTTTTGTCAAGGTGCTCTACAACTTTCCCATGAAGAATTGCACTTTTGCAAAACGTTTGCTTTGCTGGAAGGTGAACAAGATCGGGAAAGAGATGAAATTATGCACAAAAAGCACCGACGGCCTTTAGTTAACTGTCGAGTATCCGTCGTTTGACAGGTTTTACATTGGACAAACCGGACGGTGCATTAATGACCGATTAAGGAAACATCAGTATAGTATAAGAAAACAAAACTCCGGTCATCTGGGTATTCACTTCCGTGATTGTGGATGCACCCCTGATTACCGAAAAAGCAAAATACTCGAAAGGAACGGTGACAAACTAACTTGAGAGATAATAGAAGCTTACGAAATAAACAAATTAAAAGACAAGTGTGTCAGCACGAGCTCCGTTGGTCTGTGCGATAAAGAAATGAATTTCCTTACTTGTGCATGTTAGGGACCGACTGCGACATATGATTGTATAATCTAACTATAAGGTGCTGAGACTGCATGCATTTTTGCGTATTTTCTTTCGCACTCCGTTTATTTGGCTGCTGCCCATGTGCATATGTACTGGGAGGGGTGGAAATAAAGTTTCAACTTATAGTCAGCGCTGTCGTCTGTGACGTCTTCACTTTGACCTTGTCTTGTCGCGCTGTTCTAAACAGAACGACTTATATAGCCAGCGGGAATGGACGCACCCGGGTTGTCGATAGTAGGTTTGCTCCCAGGAGGGTAAACGCGTCCAAGTTTCAATTTGGTCCCCAAGGGTATGCTGAGGCAAGTCCACCGAGAAGGGCGAGGGAGAGCCGTCTACCAAGGGCATACGACCTCGCCTCGCATACAGGACGCGGAAGTGTTCGTGAGATGGAGACGAGAAAGATAACCGAAAGATGCATTTCGGTTTCCTTTTACTGAATTGATGGCTAGAAATGTCTCGAAGGCAAAGAACGAGCGCCGCCGCCATTGCGCTGTCTCCCCTCTGTTCTGTCGGCATAGAATCAAACATGTTTCTGGTCCTCAAGTGCCTTAAGTTACAACAATAAGTCAGCGTGAAGTAAAACGCTGTTGCAGTGGCACATACACCTTTACGCGCGACTATATATATATATACACCTTCAAAATCCCCCAGATGGCGTCAAATTTTGATTGGTATCCAAGCGTGCGAAGGCAGAGACGGAGGGGGCGATTCGGCGTGCTAAGGCATGTTCTTTGATCACTTCACGAGACTTGCGTTCCACGAGTTCTGTTTTTTACCCGCGGTGCTGCCTTTTCGTCAACATTTTCACGTGTTCCCGAAGGCAGCTACGACCATTTACATAATGTTAAAAAGAAATTCTTCGGCGAATGACGGCGAACGAGCATAAAGCGGCACGCTTCCGCCGAGCCTCTGCAACGCCCCAACCCGGTCGACTTCTTATTCGCACAGGATGGCCGTCCGGTAGCCGCATTCGCGGAGCGGAAACGCGTCATACAGCAATTGTCTTATATCGAGTTCGTTTCACTGCAGTCGTGCTATGGTGCCTGGAGCGCGTCTCCTACTGGTGTGTTTAGCGTCCCATCACGCCCATGCATCAAAAAAAGTCATCACAAATTGGTAACAAATGACGTCACATGCAGAAGCCGGAGTGTCATGCTGTTGCATGTCGCGATCCTGGCAGTTGGTCGTAGAAATGCTGGCGAAAACCACAGGCGAACGCGAGTGTCGCTGTCATCACGGCGTCCCAGGCGTCCCAACTTCTGGCTGCTTTAACTTCCGTGGACTGTCACAGCGGAGAGCGACCTACAGCAGAACAGGCGTTTGCCATAGACACCAAAACTGTTGAAACGCCACCAGGTTTGCGATAGGCGACAGCATGACACTTCTATGACGTCATCAGGCGGAAATCGAGGGACCTCTTTTTTTGGACCCGGTAAACACACCAGTCGGAGACGCGTTCCAGGCACCGCGGTCCCAGGCGTGCCAACTCGCAGCGCGTAACTAGATTCCGGCCGGCACTCGACGAGTGACTCCATCTTTTGAGTTCCTTCAGGTGCCTGCAGTCTACACGCGTATGCACTCACTTCACTGAAACAATTGAGCGTCCGCCCGAATGCAATCCCTTCATCCGTCACTCAGGCGAGGCAGGCGAGGTGCGAAAGCAGACGACGGGGAATCATCTGTTACTGATCTGGTACGAGCTGCCAAAACGCATAAAACGGAGCCGAAAAAAAAAGTAGAATTTTTTGTTAAAAACTGCGTCCCGCGAGAGACGGGATCGAACGCGAGCTTGACTTTTCGCAAGTTTTGAGTCCCTCTGTTGCCGTGCAGTCGCTCAAATTCACAGATGAGTAAAAGGGCTCGGGACAAACGCTCGGCTGAGCGGCCGCGAGAACTCCCTCACGGCTGCACACGTGTGAAAAGTTATCGTCGAAATATGGCCGATAGAGGACGAGTGCATGGACAATATTTGGCGAAAAAGCTCGACTTGCAAAACCTGTGATGCGTCCAATTAACAACCGATACAACTAAACAAAACATGGTTAATTTAACCAAGGCTTTGGTAAAATCGCAATGTTTAATAGTTAGCTACTCCACTTACTTCGCACTTTCGTTCTATTGTTCGAGAAAGCTCTCGATCTCATCGCCTTCAATTGAAATACAAGTTAACACAGCTATATGCGATCAGAAATCAACATCGAAGGTACCGCGAAATGTGTTGCTTCGGATTTAAGCTGTCTAGTTTAAAATCATGTCCTTTCAGTGTATTACGCTTAAAACTGATTAAGCTTCTTTCCGAATAGTATCAACGGTGTTTAGGCGATGTAAATAGTTATAAGAATTGAAAAATTGCTCACTAATTGTTCTTTGTTCTTCCGTGCCAGGTATCTTCATTAATTCGTCCATGTGCGTACTGCTTTCAGCCAAAAGCACTATATCATCAGCGTATATAAGAACTTATACCTCTCTAATCCATTGACGTCCCCTTTAGTATAAAAGGACAAAACCACAACCACTGTTCTCCAACTTCTCTTCTACTCCTTGTAAGTAGAACATCTACAGCAAAGTTGATAAAGAGCATCCCTCTCCTAAACATCGCTTTATCTCTATTGGCTCAGTTGCCCTTCCTCCCCAAGTTACTATTACCGGATTGTTTCTGTAAACATCTTTCAAGAACATCCGTTTTCCCTCCTCTACTTTTAAGCGGATCATTATGTCCCGAAGGTTCTTTTCCATTACAATGTCGTGTGCGTGGTTCCGCCGAATCCGGTGGAGCCACACGGCTTCGAATATCTTGCGTCGTTGCAGCGCGACTTGCAGCGTCTCTCAATGGGTGCGATGCTAGCGCATGTCGACACCGAGGCACGCGTTCACGTCTGCTGCTTTGCCGTGGACTCTTGTTTAACTTCAGTGTGTGTTCCGCTTGTGGCGGGTCGGAGTTATCCGCCAAAGATGACGTCACGAACAGGCCTTATCTTTTCCTAGTGTCAGGGCCAATGTTGATTACGACGCGCTCCTTTACCCCCTTCCCCTACGTCGGTCAGTCAGTCTCCTAGGTGGTACAGACTCGACGCAACCTCAACGATTTCATCATCTGTCGGCAAAGTTCGTTTCGCTGGCGACGTCATGTATGTATCCGATTCGCCTCTCTTTGTTTGGAAGGTAAGTATTTACATTTCATTCAAAAAAAAGAAAAACTTGGTGCCGCCGAGTTGATTTAAGTTTACCGTGATGCATGCAAAATAAAATCTAGAGTGATCAAAAAAAAAAAAAAAGAAAGATGGAGGCATATAACGTTTTTCGAGAATTTCTCCGCCCATCATTTCGTATTGCACTTTGAGGTTATTTTTCGTCTTTTCTTGTGTGTTAAGGCCGATTCACACAACACCGTTTTTCTACGTTGCGTTACGTTAAGAAAGCTTACGTCGACTTACATCAAGAGGTACCGAGCAGGGATGGCAGCAGTGACATTACTGTAATGATATTACTTTTTGTGGTAATGATTAATGTAATTAATTAATTTTCTAGGCTGGTCAATCAGTAATGTAATTAGTTACTTTCAGCAAGTAATTTGTAAACAAAAAATACTAATCACTTTTGAAATGGTCTCCAAATAAGACAGTTCGTTCGCGAGCTTTAAGAAGGAACGAAAAAAAAATATTTTGCATGGTGAAATGTCATGAAATAGACATCAGAACAAATAAACGACGGCCATCTTGGCGCAAAGCCTCATATGAGGAACACGACAGATGCACGAAGGCGAACTCAAAAGGTGAACGCGATGGTGAAAAACGTTCGTCTGAAGACATCGCTGGAAGGCCGCGGCTCACGAACTCCAAACAAGACATTCACGGCGTCACGTCATCGTGACGGTACTATGCCTCGTTCATCTCTAAGCTGCCAATGCGGCGGAAGTTACAAGCTCACCGGAACCAATCAACCAACTTTCTTTCGTCACCCGACCCTTCCCTGCGCGTGGGCAGGAATGAGAGCGAGGTTATCTGGTGAAATATAGACGTGTAACTGGCCCAACGAGGGCGTAGCTTCCTCCGCACAGTGAGCTTAAGGGTGAACGGCTTATCGGCCACAATCCGAAGGGCAAATCACCAGAGAGATCAGCAAATTTTAGAGCATGAGAAGACAGAACACACAGGATCCCAAGCTTTCTTGCCCCTTTCACCAAGCAAAGTCCAACCGTAAGCGTCGAGCATAGTGAAAAATAAGCGACCGGAAAAAATATTTACCCCCAAATGCCTCGTCAATTCCTTAGAAGGCTTCGTGTGTGTCCTTGACCTTGGTTAGTTAAGATGCTTCTTGAAGTAAAAAAAGACGGGAAGCGAGCAAAACAACTGCCACTCATGGTATGCCCCCTTCCTTTTCTTGGAGAGTTTATTCGGAAATTTGCAAACAAGCAGATATCGCCACTCATTTGTTGGGAAATTACACATTTTAGGAAGCTCGCGCCATCTCCTTCCTCTGCTTTCGACGCTTCTACTCACCAAATATCCAATCCCCTTGCATAACGACGAGGAATACCATGGGACTTTTCGGGTGGTTTGGAACAATACTTATCGAGAGGAATGCCCGGGAATACTTCAACAAGTGCTATTGGGAGAAAGCGTTAAGCTGCATCCGAGTAAAAAGGGAAATGTTTCACATTACGATTTCTTGTAAGAACGATCTCCCATGGCCCGACTTAATTAAGTTAAAATCAGCAACACGAAAGCAAATGACCCTTTAAAGGATACTCCTGCGATAATTTGAGCTACTCCTACTAGCTATATTTTCAGAATCACCGGCCTTCACTCTTTCCGGCATGTTTTTAATGTCGAGAAGTTCAAAATAGTTATTGTTAAATCGGCAAGTGAAAACGATGCCAAAACCAACATTCAAATACAAATATACCCGCGCTTTTCAGCGCCATGACGTCAGGGGAAGGCATGCTTGAAGGTCGAGGGAACAGTTTAAAAATAGACTATGCCGAGCTTTTGTTTCCTGCTGCTGCCTGGGGGCCGGAGGGAGCTTCTAAAACATTTATTTGACAGAATGAAAGTGCTTGCATTCCGGTGGGAACAAAGTCTACAGTCCAAAGAATGAACCCATTCCTTCAGCTGACGTAGCGTTTTTTCTTGTTCCCATGAGAGAATTTCACTTCGAAAAACACGGGGAGGACCAAAATTTTAAATGCAATAACTTAGCAAGCAATAATTGTGGCCCAATATTTGGGTTACTAATTTAGCGATGTTTGTTGGCGCGTTTAGTGAATTTTCAGGCAAGTCGGGCACTATGAAGAAAACGTCGGAGTACCCCTTTAACTAAGGACGTTCACCGTTTAATGAACAGAGAAACCGGTGAATCGACTGTCGATGAGTCACATCTAAAGCAGCTATTGATCATGATCTGTCGAGTACATCAGCGAAACGACTATTTAGTATGGCTGACCTTGAGGCGTATGGGGCTGTAGCGGAGTAGGCAGAAAAATCTGAGTTCCGGTACCTATACTGTGAAAAATGAGCACAAATTGGTGTCTTAAGGGACTGAAAAGTAATTTCAAAGTAATTTTATTACTTTTGGAAAGTAGTTTTGATATAGTGACTTAACTTTTGTTTTGCGGTAATTTGTAATGTAATTTAACTAGATTTCCGCGCTTTTTAGAAAAAGGTAATTAGTAATGTAATTTATTACTTTTGAACGTAATGTTTTCCATCTCAGTTACTGAGACATCCATATTTCTTGTAAAGAGTTGCACCCTTTCAAGGAGTAGACTTGCACGCGACATTCGAGGCAGGGATGTTGCGGAGACATCTACGTAAACGTAAGAAAACGGTGCTGTGTAAACCAGTCCTTATGGTAATATCTCTCACCATGGTAATATTTAATTGAATCGCTTTTCGTAATCATTGTTTTCATAGCTCCGGGTCAAATGTTTTCCGAAGCATAGGCGGTTAGAAGTTATAGATAATTTGCTGTGTCTGACATTCCCTCAATTCGAGCGATCGTGCTTTGTCTCGACTAAAGTTTCACCGAAACTCAAAACAACGGAGCTGCTTTAACGTAAGAACAAGAAAATCGTTAATTTTTTATCAATTTTTTGAGTATAGAGGTGAAATTACTTTGCTCAAAGTAATTTGGGTTCTGGCGACGTGCGCGACCAAAAGCGTCGCTGTGATTTGCCTTCCACGATTGTCCAAACGATCACTATGACCTCTTGGGTAGGATTATTTCTGCTCTCATCAACGAAAATGAGAGAAAAGTAAGACTCTACGCTACGCGCGGTGGAGATTTAGGAACGTGATGACTACGCTTCCACCGTGCTTTTTACGCTCCATCCAAGTTCTCGCTCGCTTCTGTGAATCTTGGTCGTGACGTCAAGATAGGAACCCCCACAGTTGGGCGCCACGGAATCCTCTCGCGGCCAATGCGCAATGAAGAAAAACAAGTGCTTTCCTTTCCTACGCTTAGCCCGCATATCACGCAATGAAAATACTCAGTTTGTTTCTGAATCTAAGTGTTGGCTACTTTAAACAAACCACAGCCACCAGACATACGCCAAGGCAAATAATGTCCCCGAACAGGTCTATCAGGTATCTGCTATAATCTTCTTTTCAATTCATGCCGTACTTTGTAAAAAAATAATACATTCTACAAATTGATTATGCTGACAAAGAATAGTAAGCACATAATGTGCTATAGGCTTTACGCTTATCGGCGTTTGTCTGCGGGGCCCATGGTGAAGGCTCTTACTGCTGCCCCCTGCCGTTTCCAACTTTCCCAATAAGCTCGCATGCGTTCTGCGGCCGTCTGCTTCGTACGAGCTAAGTCCACTGTGGATGAAACGACGTTTGAGCGGCACCGATTTGCCAAGGAGCAAGTGTGTCAAAGATTCACACCGATTTCTGACACACGCCGTGAGATGGCGCAGTTCGACAGGAGCTTGAGGAACCGCCCCTAGTCGCTCACACATTTGCAAGGGCGCGAGGCGCGCCACCGCGTCCACGCGAGGGTTTTCGTTCTCCCGTGCGCGAGCGCGTGCTCTCCCTAGATAGTTCAGTGGGTAAAACACATCGCTTACAATCTCAAAGTGGTAGGTTCAAATCCTGCTGGAGACTTTCTTTCTTAAGTCTTCTTTATGGTTCCCTATGTGCATGACACCTTTCGTTGTCGGTTTGTTGTAGTTTGGCCTCACAGTTAAAGGTAACAGGTCTCCACAAAAATCGACTGATAAAACTCCATCTGTATGGAAGAGTACTTTGCTCTCGACGGCCAAAACCACAATGCGGCCATATTAATTTCGGCTTTAGAAAGTACCATAGCCTCTTATATACTGGAAACCCCATCAAATTGACGACGAAACAAAAGAACGCAAAATCACCGTAAAAGAAAAAAAAAAAAAAAAAAGAAGACGAGAGGAGTAGTGGTTTCTTTTTTTTTTTCGGGTGGCAGCGCAGAGGGCGATCTTTCATCAGCGCCAGCAGACCTAGCGGCCTCTCCCCAAAATGCCACATGTATTACCTTTATCTCTCTCGCTTTTTCTCCTCGCAAACGCGGTGGCGGTGTTGGTGAGCAACGCGGAAAGGATGTGGCGACCGTTCCACGGCAGGAGAGGAGAAAGGTGTAGGCCGACGGCCATGTTTCCTCCTTCAAAAAAAGAACTGGAGTGTTTTCCGATTTGACAGCCCGCGCTGTGGTGGCGCAAGAGATCCCCTCCAGGACGCTTTCGGCATCCTCTTTCTCCGCCTCTCCTCTCCCTTTTTTCGTGACCACTTTTGCTTGGGTTCTGGCAGGCTTTCTAGTATATAGGAGGCTATGAAACGACCCAAATGTCGGTCTGGCAATAAACCGAAGGTTATCCGGACGTGTTTATGTCAAGAGATTTAGTGTCTGATTTCGCCTCTCGGAGTCGGACTGTTATCACACACTTCCCTTTAGCGGCCTTTGACATATATGCGATTGTATTCTGCTATCATTATATACTCCATATTACGAGGCAAAATATATGACAAGATTAGTCAAAATAAGCTTGAAACTTTTGTAAAAGCAAGTGCATCCTCGAATTTTAGTATTCAGGCGAGTGTCTTTTTTGATGTATTTATGAGGCTCGGCGTGCGTTAGAAAAGGAAATAATCGTTGCGGTGAATAGGCTAATTAATTAAAATCCGTGAATTAATTTTTTAACTCTTGATTTTAGGGGTTATGTTGCAAAACTTTTGAGGCCAAACTATACCGGTCTCACCAAATGATCGCCCCATGCGGGACGCCGCCGTGACTTTAGTTTGTAGGGGGCAGGTCGAAGTTCTCGGGACGCCTGGTGCCGTGTCGTGCTCGGTATCCGCAGTGCTTCATAGTGGTCGTCCCACGTGCAAAAATACTAAAGTTCCCTCAATGCATGGCGGCAGCGGCGGCGTAACAAATCTGGCTGTTGAGATCGGTTTTCACAGCGGAGCTGTTAAGGGCGAGTTTCCCCAGCATCGCGTCCGTCAGCAAACAAATGATGACTCGAAACCCTGGACATTTACCGCCATCTATGTGCGAGGGCGGCAACCAGACATGGAGCAATCTTTCCAGTCTATCCACTCTGGCTGCCGCTTTGCGGACGGCCATTACTTCATTCCCACCGTAGTACAACTTCGCTGGTCTTCCTTCTTCACCCAAGGGGCAAGGCTGAAAGTTTTTTTTTTCTTCAAATAATTTCTAGAAATGCGATGCTTTGTAAGATATTAATTAATACAATATTTGAGTACTTTCTGAATTTAGAAATAGCTCGCCACATGCGAGTCGCAAGCCCTGCCCGGAATGATGCTTAGAAGAGTGATGCGCGGTCGTATCATTCGTGTCGTCACCATCACGGCAGCGTGTTTGTGATGGGTGCGCATACGAGGTAAGTGACGAAGTGACTGAAACGATTACGTCACTCTTTTAGGAGTCGTTGTGGGAACGTTTGCGGCCCGCTTTTGGAGAGCAACTTTTAAAAATAGTAAAAGTGTGGTAATTAATATCTCGAAATCACAATATTTTTGCAAGGTATTTTAATTGATATAGCCTGTAATTGTAATGCCATCGATGATGAAACTGTTAATTAACAAATTTTAGTTAATTATTGAACTTAGCACGACAATAATGCCCTTCTCTGAGGTCCGCCAAGCCTAATAAACACAGGCTGAAGACTACTCGTTTAAATATCACCCCCTTTAAAAAAATGCTCAAATTAACGAAACATCGTGTATATTGTAAACAACGTAAGCTTAAAAAGAGATGTTATTCGTGGACACTGATAGATATGGCGACGCCGTACAAAATCTTTTCAGAAAGGAATGAATGCGAGACATTTAGTCTATGAGCACGATGGCGTCTAAAGGCGGGCGCGCTAACACATCTGTTTATGTTTGGCCTTGAAAAAGCTTCAGCGGTCAATTTTTATTGAAGGTCTTTCAGCAAGATTACGCCTGCTTGGCAACGTTCACCATCCTTGTTCTGCTGACAACACTGATAATACAAGCGCTGTGGTTCAAGAAGAGGTCGGTGGCTCCGGACAAACTGCTACCTCCGGGACCTCGAGGAGTTCCCTTCCTTGGTTTCCTGCCATTTCTTGGATCCAGCCCTCATATCACGTACAAAAGGCTTTCTGAAACCCAGGGACCTGTCTTGAGGTTAGAGACAGTTCCTTATTTAGCGCAGTTGACTGTAGTCTCTCTTTGCTAAGACCCTGCAGCGACGCAGGCAGTGGCGTAGCCAGGCATTTTTTTTCTAGGGGGAGCTAAGGTGGCTGGGAAGTCCATTACTTGGGGTGCGGAGGGAAAGGGGGAGGGGGTTGAAAATGCATGTTTATATTGTAGGGTCCGCTGGGTTTGGAAGGGGGGGGGGGGGACGAAGCCTCTTAAGCTTACCACCTGCCTACGTCACTGGTCGCAGGAAAGATAAAACAAAAACTCTTCTTAGATAGTTTGTACCAGGTGTACATTCCGCACACATACATCTTATACATAGCTCACATAAAATACCGTTTAATTAGGTCAAAAATGAGCTGGTATCGTAGAGAAGTCATCACTAACACGAGCTTTCATTTTGAAATATCATAAAATATCGTCATAATTAACGCCAATGAAGCACAAATCCTTCTACCGTCCGCACCGTGTAAATTTTTAACTCATAGTTCGCAGATAATTGTACGGAAGATAAAGGAGATCGAACGTATAAAGACTTTCAATGGGGATTCGGGAAGGTAGTCTGAGCCAATGGGGCAAATGAATGCATATAGCGCTCACATTTAAGTGAAGATAATAAACATAGCTAAACCTTAGAAAATATGCATGATATTAATATATTACCTGACCTAAAGTAGACTGAAAATTAATCAAGCATAGTTTTATTATTTATCTGTAGCTAAACGTCCCACTAGAGTATGTCTAAAAAAACGAAACAGTGTTTCGTTTTTTTAGAAACAAGTACAACAAACCAGCATTTCGCGCCTAGCTGAACATCAGAAAGTCTATATTTACAGCTCAAAACTTCTTGACGTGACAAATAGGATTGCGCTTGTGCTTCAGAATTTGCAACGGTGTTTATTTATAAAGAAATTGAGCGGATGCTTTTCGGTGTTTATTTATTCTTCGAATATATGTCTATATTGGCGATTTCTTTCAAACACGCAAAAAACCTGCGGTTATTGGTGATAAACTTTATTAAAAAACTAATACTTCCGATTCAATTTTACATTTACATGCACCCTTAAAGCGCTTTCACGCTTATCACAATTCGACAGTGCTTAAAACCAAAGATGAGTCCGAACGTGGGCCAGAGTTGGAGGGCTCTTCAAGTTTATCACCTAGAGCGTTTCGTGTGTTTCTTTTTTTGCAGCCCGGCCCTCAGGCCGGGGTCGGGCTTCAGGGCTAGATTAAGCGCTGGGCAGGGGCCTTGCATACAAGTCTACAAGGGGGGCCCAAAAGCCGGACAAACCGACAGTTCCTTTCTCTTTTTCTTTTTTTTAGACGCAATATTTTTAATTTTTTTTTCGGGGGGGGGGGGGGGGATCATAGGGGGAGGGGGGGGGGGGAGGAGACCCAAATGCTGAAAGCATGTGTGTGTGTTAATGTTTTTGTGAGGTTTGGTCTGTGGGCAGCGAATGATCTTCCAGAGCAGTAGCGGCGCGGCGTTCAGTTTTGTCACAGGCGGGTCCGTACAGTTGCTTCTTCCTATCAACACGCACATATAAGCGCCTACACAATACGCACCTTCGCAGGCGTAAGCCATCTGTACGTACGAGTGCGTGCGTTCAGAATATGGGTGACGAGGTTCCCCTGAGGTGTGCTTGTTCTAACGAATTTGTCGCAGACCATGCAAGAAACGGAGGTATTTTTTATTTCTTCTTTTTGTACGCAACAGAAGTGAGCAATTTAGAACTATGTACGTCATTTGTTCAAACCCGTCTCGACGTTTCCCTTCCTTTGACACTTGGTTTTGTTTAATGCTGCATGCCATTGTTATTTTTACGTCCTTTCCGATACGCGGGTTTGGTCGCAAAAAAGGACGATGGGGGTGATATTTATTTACGAGCTGCCTTACTGCATGACTATCGGGTACCGCAGTCCACATGTGGAGCAGTGGCAAGCGAGCTGCCATGCCGCACAAATTGTGAGCTATTCATATTGGGCGAAAATAGAGCGGGCCTCAACGGGCCCGTGAAAAGCAACGTCGGGCCGGGCTGCGCCGGGCCGGCTGTCGGAAAATGTATATCGGGCCGCGGGTGGCTTTGGGTACAAAAGACAGCAGGCCGGGCTGGACCGGGCCCGTGTAGGCCTCTAGCCTGCTACCCGTCTGCGCCGAGTGAAGCATTGAATTGTTTCCAAACGAACTGTATGCGCGAAGAGAGAAGCACTAGATTTGCTCTTGCTTCTTTCGCAAGAATCACCCGATAAAGACCACCAGTGCAGTTTCGAACACTGCCATCCAGCTATAACCGTAATAGAATAAGTACATTATTGCCATCAGTGGGGAACGACTAACGGAACAAACTGTAATATCACTGACCTTCAATGACAGTGACTCCACTTGTTCAGGGCTGGTAGGGTGCTGCATTCTTGATAAGAGTAGGTGCCCGACGAACGTGTAGGGGAGGGTTTTGAGAGAAATCTACCGTACCTCGATTAGAGCAAAACTTTCAGAAAGCGGTGTTTTTCTTGTTTTAACCAATTTTGTATTTTAAGCACGAAGGATGAATATCTGTGTTTTTGGGGTTTAAAACCGGAAAGTCTACGGCCTAGAACTAATGAAGCCGCCAGCTGATAGACTGTCTGGCCATAATAGGATGGTTCGGCCATGGCACGAGCTGGTTTTTACTAGAGCAAAAGACAGCAGCATAGGAATACAGGGAGGAACAAAGGAACTACAACAAGGTGCCATCTTAAAACAAGAATACAGTAAGGCAATACATATATCAACCAGAATAGCAGACTACAGCCAAAGGCAATATCAATGCCTACCCAAGTTGTTTCCACGCATGGTATATTGAAACTCACCAAATGTAGATTGGTCGTCCGTCAAAAATAACCAAAATTTTAATAAGCGCGAAAATTTCCACAAAAACATATAAACACTTATTAGTATACTGGCATGTGTAGATTAAGGAGCTCTCGCGCGCATTTTTGTGACCTGAAGAGCTGATATTCTTCTTAGATCAAAGGCAATTGTTGTGGAAAGAAATATCGTCATTTACCTTTAAAAGGGTTGATAACTGGGCTAGTTGGTAGTTAGACATATTAACGGCATTAGCGCACACGTATGAGGAAGAGAGAAGGGACAGAAAAGAGCGCTACTCACAACTGTATTTACAAAGATGAAGAAAAGAAAGAACATCGTCCAGCTCCCCATAAAGATGAATAAGGAAGAAGAGGAAGCAGAAATATAAAACAGGAATATAAAACACAAAGTCGGGTGTTCCCTCGCGCGCACAGGCTTGATACTCTGGTTCTTTGATTAAACCCTAAAACCTTTTTTGGCTGTGCCTTCGTTGTCGTGGTGCTGGGTGTGTTTGCATCAGTCTTCGCTCGCGCCTGGTCACCCGTGTCAGGGGGGAAGACGAACACATCATCCATGGTCGGCTGCCGCTGGGTCGTCGTGCCTGATGTCTCGCGGCACCCGTGACTCATGCGAGTTCTGCATTGTCCGTCTTAAAAAGTCTGTTTCCTTGCTTGTCAAGGCTACCGATGCAACACTAATGCATTTAGTAGCTGCGGAAATGATGTAGAAGGCTTCTACCACCTCGCGGGTCATTTTATCCTTGTGCCTCTCTAGGGTTATTGTTTCCCCGAACAGCGGATTACAATTGCACTCTTTGCAATGTGTTGCAAGATGGCCTCCCACTGTGGCTCTCAGAGAATAGTCATGCTCGCGAAGTCGGTCATTAAGACACCTGCCTGTTTGACCTACGTAGATCTTGCCGCACGAGAGTGGAATCTTGTACACCACGCCTGAAGTGCACGGAACAAAAGGTTTAGCATGTTTTTTTGTGCACCTGTGTCCTGTGGCACCTTCGGCTTGCGAGTTGACTATGGAGCAAATTTTGCTCATTTTTTGCGGGGCTGAAAATACCACTCGGACCCCATACCGACTTGCCACGTTCTTTAAATTGTGTGACGTCTTGTGAAGGTACGGGATTACCACCAATCTTGTCTGTCCTACATCTTGTTTGTTGGCTTGGAGGCCTTTTGCCCTTTTCAACAAGGTGTCCGCTACATTAGCCAGTAGTGGTAACGGATAGCTGGCTTTTCTGAGTCTTTCAACCTGCATCGAGAAGCTGGCTTCCATTGTGTGGCAACATGATTTCTTGAGCGCGGATCCCGAACATGTCAGAGCAATGCCCCTCTTGACGATCTTAGAGTGAGCCGAACTGAAATCCAAAATTCGTTTCTTGGAGCGTGGAGAGTACGTCCAGCACACATGCGTATCACCTAAGTGAAGCGAAAGGTCTAAAAACTGGAGAACGTTTTCTTTTTAGACCTTTGCTTCACTTAGGTGATACGCATGTGTGCTGGACGTACTCTCCACGCTCCAAGAAACGAATTTTGGATTTCAGTTCGGCTCACTCTAAGATCGTCAAGAGGGGCATTGCTCTGACATGTTTGGGATCCGCGCTCAAGAAATCATGTTGCCACACAATGGAAGCCAGCTTCTCGATGCAGGTTGAAAGACTCAGAAAAGCCAGCTATCCGTTACCACTACTGGCTAATGTAGCGGACACCTTGTTGAAAAGGGCAAAAGGCCTCCAAGCCAACAAACAAGATGTAGGACAGACAAGATTGGTGGTAATCCCGTACCTTAACAAGACGTCACACAATTTAAAGAACGTGGCAAGTCGGTATGGGGTCCGAGTGGTATTTTCAGCCCCGCAAAAAATGAGCAAAATTTGCTCCATAGTCAACTCGCAAGCCGAAGGTGCCACAGGACACAGGTGCACAAAAAACATGCTAAACCTTTTGTTCCGTGCACTTCAGGCGTGGTGTACAAGATTCCACTCTCGTGCGGCAAGATCTACGTAGGTCAAACAGGCAGGTGTCTTAATGACCGACTTCGCGAGCATGACTATTCTCTGAGAGCCACAGTGGGAGGCCATCTTGCAACACATTGCAAAGAGTGCAATTGTAATCCGCTGTTCGGGGAAACAATAACCCTAGAGAGGCACAAGGATAAAATGACGCGCGAGGTGGTAGAAGCCTTCTACATCATTTCCGCAGCTACTAAATGCATTAGTGTTGCATCGGTAGCCTTGACAAGCAAGGAAACAGACTTTTTAAGACGGACAATGCAGAACTCGCATGAGTCACGGGTGCCGCGAGACATCAGGCACGACGACCCAGCGGCAGCCGACCATGGATGATGTGCTCGTATTCCCCCCTGACACGGGTGACCAGGCGCGAGTGAAGACTGATGCAAACACACCCAGCACCACGACAACGAAGGCACAGCCAAAAAAGGTTTTAGGGTTTAATCAAAGAACCAGTGTATCAACCCTGTGCGCGCGAGGGAACACCCGACTTTGTGTTTTATATTCCTGTTTTATATTTCTGCTTCCTCTTCTTCCTTATTCATCTTTATGGGGAGCTGGACTATGTTCTTTCTTTTCTTCATCTTTGTAAATACAGTTGTGAGTAGCGCTCTTTTCTGTCCCTTCTCTCTTCCTCATACGTGTGCGCTAATGCCGTTAATATGCCATTTACCTTGTTGCAGGGTAAAACTGGGGTCGACGAATGTCGTCGTGCTGAATGACCTGGACTCAATCAAAGAAGGACTAAACAACAGCGAGGTGTTGGCTCGCCCTGCAGATTTCCTTTTCAGAAGAGTCGGAGTGGACGGTGAGTGCGCTGGAAGTTGCCAAAAAGTACACGGCGTGTTGTCTTTCTTGTTTATTTTTATATATTTGTATTTGCTACAATATCTCATTGGTTTCGCTAATGCGATCGCTCTCGCACCGCCTTGGCCAAAATGCGTGATTTTGCAATAAAGAAATTGAAGCCGTTTACAATTTTTTCTAGGGCCGATTTAGAGCGCAGCTCTTGAGGAGGAGGGCGGGTATGCCCCTCCTTTTCCGTACCATCTCCTCCTCCCCTCCTCCTCGCCTGCTGCCCTCCCATTTAGCGGGAAATTTTCGCTAATTTTAGTAAACTTTTCTCCGCCAAATTTAGCGAGAAAAAATTCCCACTAAATATAGCAGAGAAACTGAATTGGTGTTGAGGTCATGTGATGTCAATTTCCCGGCTAAATTTAGTGGGGAGATTTCCTCACTAAATTTACTGGGGAAGTTTACCATAATGCAAGTCGCGCGGTTACGCCTACACCGATGCCGACGGCGACGCCACTCATCCCGGAAACGGGCGCCTAAGAGCTGCGCTTTAAAAATGAAAGACGTTTACAAATATCTGTAATGCGTAAATAGAGCGCAGCACTTGAGGAGGAGGAGGGGAGGGTACGCATGCAGGGAGGGTATGCCCCTCCTCCTGCTCCGTACTCTCCCCACCTCTCCTCTTTCTTCCCTCCTCACGGTCACTTGACGTGGTCATGTGACCGTGTCACGTGACGTCAATTTCTCCGGTAAATTTAGCGGGGAAATTGACGTCACGTGATCTCAACACAAATTTAGTCTCCCCGCTAAATTTAGCGGGGAAACTATGACGTCCCATAATGCAACGCGCGCGGTTACGCCGACGCCAACGGTGACGCCGCTAAACTCGGAAACGGGCGCTTAAGAGCTGCGCGCCTAAGGGCTGCCCTTTAAGTCGCTGGAACTATTATACATTTGGCAGCAATAAATTGCATCCACACGTTGCACATGCACCTGTGACATATCACATGGTGATGTACATGTTAATGTTTGATGGTCACACATAATGCGTTTAGTAGTGTTTCGCCGTAGTGTTGATCTTGTCGCCTTTTATGTTTCGGATGTTTTGTACAGTTTTTACATCCTGACTGCTAGATGTTGGTGAACCCACAAAGACTGTTTCTTTTGCTGCAACCTCCCGAATCCCGTAGAAACGGTTGCGGACGCTTTCACAGACCTGAACAATTGTGACCTCGCTTTTACTCGCGGACTCGGACAAATCCTGACAAGGATAAATTTGTATCTATACTACATGACCTCAAATATTAGAAAGGTTGACCATGAAAAGCTACTCAATAATCGGAAGGTTCACGGTCATTATCGGTGTCATTGGCTGGTTGTTCCTTAGCTGACACTTTAAGTGACTGCTTCACCAATTTTGTTGGTGACAGCGCGGCAACCGACGCGTTTGGCAATTACTTAGAATATAATAATAACCATTCCATTTTTCTTGAACCTGTCACGAATTCTGAGGTCTTTTTTTATTTTCATGCAAATGAGAAATAGTAGTACTGTGAAAATTTCCAAATTCGACCAATTAACTACATTCTTGACTTAATAACACTATGTCTATGTCACATTCTAATCTCGCTATAACAACGTGGGCGTTTCATGAAAAGACGCAGAAAGCGAAAGTAATAGTTTTGCGTAAGAAGGGAGATAAAAATATCCTCAGCAACTACCGACCCCTCTCTATCCTCCCGTTATTCTCAAAAGGCTTGGAAGACGTTATGCCATTTCGTTTAATACAGCTTTCTGATCAAAATAACTTGATGACATCCGCAGTTTGGTTTTAAGAAATGCCGGTCGACTGAGTTAGCACTATACACCTTTCCAAGAAACACTCGACCCGAAGGGCATCAAACCGTTTTCGAGCCCAGTCACTGGGTTTGAGGCTTGACTCTCACCGGCGTCCCTGCTAACCCTAACCGTATGGAGTGTGATATCTTTTAGACCTGTGCGCCGGTCAGAAATCGCCGGCGGCGGCGCGCCGGTGTTTGTACCTCCGGCGGCGGCGTGTTGACGGCGCGGGGATCAACGGACCGGCGGCGGCGTGGCGCGGAAGGGGGAGGGGAAGAGGGGGTGTAAATTAGAGAGTGAGGAGGAGAGAGAAAGAAGTCGTTTGAATTTGGAAAACAAGATGAAAATAACCATAAAAAGGAACACACTTTTTTTTTTTTTTTGTGAAGAGTGCGTTTGTTAGAAGAATCAGGTACTTCGGCGTCTTGTTTATTCTCGTTTGTAAGAGAATATGTCACCGGCTGGCAGCCGCGGCGCAAGATATTCCGCAAGATGAGGACCGACGACAACAGGTATTTTATCACCGCGTTCCACCCCACCACGCGCTTGTCGCACGCCCCGTGCCTAACAAGTCGACCGAGCACGTCTTTCGATTTATAGAACTCGTACTCTCATTTGATACGCCGCAAGCCGTCATCACCGACAACGACAGGGTCCTAACCTCTCGTTCGGCTTCGCGGTACTTCGCCGACAGGCACATTCAGAGCATCCCTAACAGTACTTTACGTCCCCGAAGCTAACGGCTTTGTCGAACGCGTCAACGGAAAAATCCTTCCATGTCTGCACGAAAGGACGTCAACGGCGACATCGACCATTGTAGCGATTATCTCCAGGCAACCAGCTTTCAAGTGAACCAGCAGCCGTACGCCGGACTCCAGACATCACCGTTCGAACTCCTGTTCAACTTTGTCCCACGTCGAGCAATGGAATTTTCCCCGCTTCCCGGCGAGGTCGGCGACGTCCCGCGCGAACTGCGACGCTGCAAGCGCGAACCTCGCTTACCTTCACAGCATGAAGCGTTCTTACGATGCAAAATATCGACCATGCTCCATACAGGGTCAGGGACAGGGTATGGTACACGAACGGCGTTCCTTCCTCGAAACTTGGCCTGCTTTTCCATGGACACTTAATTCATCACCAACGTGAACAATCAAACCTACACCATTTCCGGGTTTACCCCGCAAGGCACACCGGATTGCCGCCAAGCTGCCGCACGATAGCTCTTTTCTTTCTTTTTTTTTTTCTTTTTTTGTTTCGCGAACAACCTGCAGCGATTGACGTCGATTTCAACCAACTCGCCTCGCTCCGCAGCAGATCTTCCGATTACAAGCGCATCACGCCGACGCTGCCCTCCACGATGGCTAGACGCATAACAGAGGATCATGACAACATCTGCAAAATGTGCGAGGGTGCAAGGATTTTGAGCTCGGGAGTGTAAGCAAATACTTTGGCGGCAAAGACCGGTAAGGAGAGCCTCCCCGACTCGACCGGATGGGGGCTCGACTTCGACCCCCGATGCTGGATCCCGGCGTGGAAACGAGAAAGAAGGACCCCCAGAAACACGATGTGACAGGAACAAGCCAGGCGTGTGGATCAAAATAAAATACGTTTGAAAGAAGCCTGAAAAACGGACGCGAATATAGCCCTTTTGTATCAAATTATTTCACAAAAATTTCATTCAAACCGTTTTGCGGTCTACAAAACCGTTCATTCCGTTATAACACTTTAAAAACACAGGCGAGCTGGTGAAGAACTTCCATAGTAACGGGAGACACGAAACGATAAAAATAACGCACGAGACAACAAGTCTCAAACACAGGTTTTATACCCGTTTTCACATCAAGAACTCTACTAAAAAGAGTCCGACTCCTTGCGAACCATTACTAATTTCCACCTTTATGTGGAGAATTAAGATATATTTAGCTGGATTCTACTATATATATGTTATCAAGACGTACACGTTCCAGTGCCAAAATCATCGCTTTTTTCTCCGACAACCAAATCTCGTAAGACTTCGCGTCGCGTATACGAACATCTTTGTTTCATGTATGTGCTCTCCCCCTCTGTAATGCCTTCGGGCCCTGAGGGTACTTTGATAAATTATCACTGTTTATATTGCTGAGAGTTTTCACTCTTCGCGTTTACCATGGCAACGTTGCTTTCTTTCTCTCGTGTTCTGTCGCTCTCTTTTGCGATCGTTCACTCGGGACCCCGGGTGTCGGCGCACGGGATTTGCCACTCCTCCTCACCCACCTTTACCCCCCTGCTCCCCCCCCCCCCCCCTTTCTTCATACAACATAACAACAACAACTGCGGCTCTCTGTACTGTGGTGTGTGTGTGTGTGTGTGATAAAAAATTTTTTTATATATTTTTTTGTTCTTTTGACGCCATTAAAAAAAAAATCCAACATAATAAAACCAGGAGACGTCATTTTTTTTTGTGTGTGTGTGTGTCTCTGTCTCTCTCTCTATTTCTTTCTTTCTTTTGTGGGGCACCCTGTACATAATACTGGCAACCAGTAATCGCCACATTATTTGAGTCACGAACGTGGATGAAGACTACATGGTTGATGTTTGTTTTCCAGCATGTCTGCCTCATGCTGACCTTTCATAATTTTTTAAGAGGCTGCAAGCATAGAGCTGTGGGATATCAGATTTGTATTGTGAATCGCATATGAATGTTTTTGCATAAATATTTTAATAAATCCCAGCTGAAAATTTTTGTTGAACAGTTTTCTTAGTAGTGAAACGTTAGAAAAAGCCCTAAGAAGATAAGTTGGGTTAAGCACAATACGACTACCTTATTTATTTGAATATGGCTCGAGGTTTCTTTTCTTTAGCTCTGTCCTTTAAATTTAGTGTTCAATCTACAGCCGTAACCAAAGAAGTCTGAGCTACAATAGTGATCAAGCTTTCCAAAACCTTCGAGCCATCTGAGATGCTCTTTTTGCACTGCAGCTTCTCCTGACCCATTGGTTCGAAGCAGTGAGATCTAATATACCTAAATACCTAATATACAAGGAACTCCAACACCTTAAAACAGTACAAGTGTGTTGCAAAGCGAATCGAATAGCAAAGTTTAGTTACAAGTGACTAGAAGTTCTGAATATTTATTTTTACTTGTCTGTTCATTTGTGCTTTATTGATGGCACATATCCTAAAATATAACTAAGG